ATTTTCATGCGGATATCTGACATTATAGTTTGCCATGTATCAGTAGAGGCAACTGGCAGTTACATGGCTCACGTGCCGGCAGGTCAGGGTGATTTCGTGTTATTCGAGTGACCTCGCTCCTCCAGGACTCCGGGAACGACGGCCACCGAGCTTGGAGCGAGCGAGGTGAGTCCGGAAGCCCAGAACGGCCTGTGACAAACAAGACTTGGGGGAGCTTAACCAGTTTTCCAAAATGAAAAAGAATTCTGCAGATCTCGAGTAGAATCAGACATGTACGTGTTCACGCAGTGTGCCTGTTTGCGAGAACGCGTTTTTGTGCCGACTCTTCTCTTTTTTGCCATACCCATATAAATTCATTGCGGGCTGATTGACCGGTCTCTTCTTGGCTGAGGTCCGACGCAAAGGATGCCCCATCGCCGGAGCCTTTGCATCCTGAAGGCTCAAGCGTTTTGTGGAAGGACCTGGACGTCATCGCCAAGACCCGACAGCGTGTTCGCGAGGCTGGGGCCCTCGCTCGAAGGAGCCTGCGGGGCCTGCTCCTCTTTCTGCAGGTGCGGGAACGAGAGCGGCTCGAGAGGTTGCGGGAGGAGGAGGAGAAGGAGCAGCGAAAGAAGGATGCCCAGGCCGCAGCACCATGTTGAATGCTAACTCTTAAATGAGTCAAACGCATTTGGGATGTGGGTATGTTGGTCTTGGTCCGGCTCTCCGCGGCTCTCGCCTCTGGGCGTTTGCTTTGCCAGTTCTCTTCACTACGGCGTCTGCACCGATGAGTTGTAGAGATCAGGTTCTGCTTGGCTTTGTGGCAATATGTGGCAATGTTCTTTGGCGACTGTGTGCACCCGACCCAGCCGGTCTACGAAACTCTAATCGTAACAGCCTACAGGATCCGACAGCTCTCCCGTGACAGGCGCAGCATGAGGAGCGCCTTCGGCGCCAGGAGCACGAGAAGCGGCAGAGGCTCCTTGAGAGGAGGCCCCGATGTCGGGCGGTGCAAAGCTCCGTGCCTGCTCCCGCTTGAAGCCTGCTTTGCAGGGTAGAGCAAGAGTCGAAGATGGCCAAAGAAGCCGAAGAGAAGCGACACGACCAGGCCGGGGGTAGTGACCAAAAGCCACGGGTTGACGCGTCGTTGTGTCTCCTCAGATTTTCACAGAGGAGCGGCGGCGACAGCAAGAAGAGAGAGCCAAGTCGCTGCAGCGCCAGATGCAGGCATCAGTTTGTACATGTGCCTAGGTTGGATTACTTGTGTTGCAGATGAAGCCAGGCGCGTATCAAGGCTGAGAAAGAACTTGCTGCAAAAGAGAAAAGAGAGCTGGACCGCTTGCTCACTTGACAGGCAAGCGTCTAGAGCACGGTTCAAGTGCAGCTCGTGCTAGGAGCAGCATGAGAAGGAACAGCGGCGGCGCACCGAAGAGGAGGCAGGGGGAATAAGCTCGCAGAAAGCTGTCGGAGCACTCCTGCTTGCAGGCTGCCAAGCGAGCAGCTGAAGCGACGGAGGCCGCCAAGAGAAGGCCCGAAAGTGCTCTGCACGGTGGACCCAGCTCCGCAGGGCTCTGCTCTGCCCTGAGAGGTTGGCGGAGCGGAAGAAGCAGCAGGCGGCCGGGAGACCGCGCGAGCTGGAGCTGTTGCGTCGCCGCGTCGCTGGCACAGGACAAGCTGCGGAAGGACGAGGAGGACATACCGGTTTTCTGAGGGAGGGGTTTAGGTCGTGAATCGCGAACGTCTGCCGAGGAGGCATCGCAGCGCGCTGAGAGCCGGGAGAGCTCCAGGAACCCCCGCGACCTCTCAGCGCAGGCGGCGCCGCGGCCTCGGGGCGACTCCGTGGAGGCTGTGGCTCGGCGCAGGGCGGAGGAGCGGGTGCGGCACCGGTCGCAGGAAAGGCGCAAGGAGGAGGAAAGGATCCGAGCACGGGAGGCCTTGCAGAAGTGCGAAGTGGAGGAAGAGCTGCGGAGGGCCAAGGAGGAGCTCGAGGAAAGGCGCCGCTCGGCGGCCCTGCGTGCAGCCTCACGTTCGCGACGGGAGAAGGAGACAGAGGAGCGGCTTCGCCAGGAGCGGGACGAGCAGACGGCGGCTGCCAAGGAGCGGCGCCTCTTGTATCGGAATCCCAAAGCCATCGCGGAGCTCAAGGCCTCGGAGCCCCAAATGCCGCTGACCTCGGAGCAGCGCCGCTCCCACTCTCGCCGACGCCAGGCCGAGCAGGCCGGAGCCCCGGTTCGCCCAAAGGGAAAACATAGACCTCTCTCTCTCTCTCTCTCAGATTTTTGCTGTGCAATTCGGGAATTTCTGATGGAGAGGGGGTTGACCTTTTGCAAAATCTCGCAGAGATCGGAGGTTTCTTTTAAATCTCGCGTCAGGAAAAGCTCCAACGCTACGCGGAGGGCCTGCCCGTGGAGGACAGCGGCCGGCCGCCGCCGCTGCCCGGAGCCGCCGGAGCTGCCGGCGCCGGTCGGCGTGGGAGCCGCCCCAAGGCCGAGCGCTCCGGCGGTGCGAACCGGCTCTCACCGAGCTCTTCGTTGACGGAGCAGACCGGCTGCTCTGAGACGGAGTCGGTCTTGGAGCCGTTGGAGGAGCCTTCAGACGAGCACGGAGAGCCGAAGTCGGAGCCCTTCTGGCCTGGGCCCACTGAAGACCAGTCCAAGGCGCTGCCGGAACCCCCGGTCTCGGTAACTCAGCTCGAGGCTCAGGAAGCAAATGACGTGGTGACACCAGTGGCAGAGCTGCCTCTGACGGGGCTTCCGGTGGGCAAGGTGTCTGGGCAGGAAGGGAGGGAGGTGAAGGAGGATATCTTGGAAGTTAGTCAAGTGCCAGAAGAGCTGGCGCAAGAGCCGGTGGAAGAACCGCTGGAGCCTGATGAGCTGGAGGAGGTCGAGGTCGAGTCCAACCTGAGCATCAGTTTGCACATCCGAATCTAAGCTACAGAGACATCCCGGAACCTTGTCCTTCCACGCCCGAGTCACAAGAAGCTGCCATTGCAACCCGTCCTGATCCATCCGTATGCCCCCCCCAGGAGCCTTCAGGCGTGTCACCACCTGCCAACTAGGGCGGGGCTTGCGAGAGCCTTCAACACGACAGAAGCCAGCGCTGGAATGAATTTGGAGGAAGTTCTGATGGCATTGCATCAGAGTCGGGTGTTCGACTGAGCGACCAGGTTCTTTGGTGCCTGCATTTTGCACCAAATCATGAAAGCCCTTTGGTTCACGAGTCTCGGGGGCAGCAAGCTTTGCGTCTTGACTGAGAAATTTCATCTACTTGTGCCCTGGATGCAACGACACGGGCAGTGCCGCACACACAGTTCCCGAATATTGAACGAAGTCTCAGTTGCTGCCCAGGGCCCGGCAACGACATGATCATCCGCAGCCCCACCCCCAGCGCAGGCTGCTGTGCGGGAGTATCAGAGGTTGCTGAATGCCAGGTTCTGTTGGCCTTTGCATCTTCTGCATGGCCTCCGGCCACTCCGGCCACACGCAGCACCCATCTTCGCTGCACAAGCAGGAGCGACCCATGACCAAGGAGGGTGTTGAATTTACAGAGGGCTTGGCAAGGTCTTCTCTGCAAAGCACGGCAGGCGATGACGGTGGATCCGGACGGAGATCTGAGCACCGGGTTCGGCCCTGTTTCTGAATCCGTTTAGCGGAGAGTCGGAGGGAGTCCGATCTGAGGCCGGTGAAGCAGCTGATGAGGAACGAGATCCCCGATGCCTCGAGCTTGTCGGAAATCGAAAACGGCCGAGATCTCGGATCTCTGTCCTCCTGCTTCTGCTGCTCCGGGTAATGCCACTGCTCCAGAAGAAGACACTGCTACTGCTGCTGCTACTGCAACATCAACAACTGTTACGACTGCTACTGCTACTGCAGCTACCTGCAGATGCTACTACTATGTCTACCGTTGCCGCTACTCATACAGAGTCTTGCTGTCATCCGTACACTGATGGTTGGGTACCTGCGTTTCGTTTCATGCGCCAGGCCAGGCGCGAGCTGCGCAGGAAGCAGAGATGCTCGAGGCCGTTGCATTTGGAAAGCACGCGGTACTGTATTAGTGCTATGGTCAGAGTACGGTGATTCAGTGATTTTGAGTAGGTGCACCGGTTGAAAGGAGGGAGCGGAAGTGGCAGCTGCTGCTTTTTCCATAAGGGATAAGAGTTGTACCACCACAGAGTGAAACCATCATACTCGACATTTTCGTCGTCATCATCATCATCGTCGTCATCATAATCATGATCATTTTCATCATCATGGCCATCATGTTCATCAGCGCCATCATCATAATCACCATGATCATCAACATCCTTATCACCACCATCATCATTCCACCATCATCATCGTGGTCATCATGTCCGTCAACATCATCATCACCACCATCATCATTACCATGCTCACCATGATCATCAGCATCATTATCACATCACCATCATCATTATCACCTTGGAACTCGCACCAGCATCACCATCCACCATCTCAGCCATCCCCACCATGACCACCATCACCACCATCCCCACCATCCCCAACCACCATTACCACCTTCACCACCCTCAGCACCCTCACCGCCTTGATCACCACTAGCACCAGCAGCAGCACCAGCAGAAGCACCAGCAGCGCCAGCAGCGCCAG